CCCCAAAACCCCAAAACCCCAAAACCCCAAAACCCCTGGGAATAAGAAGTTTCTTGAGTATTATTTACTATAAAATCTATAATTTTTTCGGTATTTTCTCAGGTGTTTTCACCCAATTTGACAACTGGATAACTTTATCAGTAACTTCAGAGCCTTTCTGTGACTCTATTAGCTCACTTGGGGGTCTCATCTCTGAGAAAGTAGCTCGAGGTACTTCTTTCGAATCAAAACTTGGGTTCCCTTCGAATACTTTTCAGCTATCATCAAAGGCTATGTATTAACCGAAGGATTACCAATAGAGTTCTTTGAAAACAAGTTCTCTTCCTTAGTCTGAAGCTGGATCCTCTTGTTAAATTTCATCTTAAGCTTTCCAAAATTCGATGATTGGTTATTTATACGTCTAGGGGTTATTACCTCCTTACCATGATCGCTCGGGACCTAGCGATGGAAGAGTCCATCATTGCTATGTTTGATCTAGAAATTTATCAATTTTAGGCTTACCCGCAGCTGCTTGTGTTGTTAAATTTCTGTTTAGATCTAGACAAATTTGTTCTGAAATTCATTCTATATTGTTAATTTAGGTGGGGTTTGAATGGACCCTGCTCGTTCTGATAAGCCGCCTGAAACCGGCATTTGCTGCTTTAAGGATTTTAATGCAGAGATTTTGGAGAAGAACGGAATTTTGTTAGGTTTTGATCCATTTACTTACATTTCTATATTGGAAATTAGGCACAGAAGTTTGTAAAATGGATAAATTTAAAATTGAGAATGCTGTTTTAGGAGAACTAGAAGAAATTTTGGTCAGAGAACAGCTGTAAGAAGTTTTATTTATGCATAGAGAGAGAATGGGAAAATGATGAGGTCTTAGAAGCTTGTGTTTATACTTTTCCATCTAAAAATGCAATTAATTAATCAAATTTCAAATGGGGTTGGTTTTTGATTTAAACTTGAAGTTCCTTATTATAGCTAAGCATTCCTGGAATTGAAATCTATGAAAATAGTCTTGAAAATCTGCTTGAAATTATTACTCTTTCTATTAGATCTGGCTCTAAAAGTAAAACAAAGCTAATTACTTTCTCAATAATTTCAGTGTAACATTACTGATATTGCTAAACCAAAATTATCAACATCAAACACCCCAAAACCCACCTTTTCCGGAGCAAATCATCCCTTTCTTTAGATTTCTGGGCCACAACACCATCCGTTTTCATCATTTCCATCCTTTTCTTCGATAACTTCCCTTTTTTCTGCTCACTTTTCCAATCTTCTGTCTACACAACTCCATCACCCCTTTCCAAGCTTCCTTACCAACGCATTGAGCTCTGTCTCAACAAAGGACTCAGTCTCCTCTACTCTAAACTTATCATAAAGCCTCTCCATTGTAGCTGTGTAACAGAAGAACTTATTAACTGCAGTGGCTCTTCACAGGTCTTCAATAGGTAAATAGTCCAGGATTCTGTCCAGGCAGAGTAAGATTACTTTCACGTTTGCAGGTTTGGAGTTTGGGGCTAGATTTAAGGTCTTTTAAGGGAGAATGAGGGGATAGAGGGGAAGAAAGGGAAGGACTGGTGGTAAGAGGGAAGATTTAGGGATTGGAGTGAGGGTTTGGGGGGGAGTAGTAGGGGGTTGGGTGGATTTTTGAGGATTGGGTACGTACTGGGTTTTTGAGCAATTTTTTGTTTGTGTTTGATTTGGGGGGTTCCTATGGGTTTTGGGGTTAGATTTGGAGTTTCAAGGGTTTTTGGGGTTTTGAAATTTTAGATCAGTTGCTATTTTAAGGAAGTAGAGTAATTTTAATTTTTAATCGGGATGAATAAGTGAATATGGACGGTTTTCGATAAATTGAAGGAGTTTTTCAGTTTGGTAAACCAAATCTTATAGTGATAATTGTAAGCTGTTTTTTTAAGAGAAGTTGTTCGCTTTCATAGTAAACACAGCCAAGAGTATTGATGTAAGAAGCATATGTTTTGACTAGGTTTGAGTTTTTTTAATTATAATTATGATTTGTTTTCGAAATATTTCTCTTCCTTAAATGCAAGGATTAAGCTGAAAAATTTGTGTGGGGAAATTCTTGAAAAGGAATTTAATGTGGGACTGTACCTCATCAAATTGGTCTTAGTCTTCCTTGTGTGCCTCCCATTGTTGAATTGGTTTATTCTATTACTTTATAAAATTAATAATATTTAGAAAGGGGTTTTGGGGTTTTGGGGTTTTGGGG